GTACCCAATTTGGTAATTCAACATCATCAAGAGCTCTTACCGAACCCTCACCTTGCTTCCCTAGAGGTCGGTCTTGCCTTTCTGATAGTTTCATTAGCTTCTTCTGATGGGTCTCTTTGACTGTTGCTGTTTGTCTTTGTCCCCTAAGACCTAAATATTTAATTACCGAAGGCCAAAACTCCTCATCTACCCCCCTCTGTACTGCGCCTCTCGCCCTTTCTAGTTTGACTTCAACGTTTTTCTCATCTGTCCTTGCCTTGTTTATCTCCGTTCTTAGAAGTTTTGTCTGAAAACTGTGTACCGCTTGGTTCGAAAACACCCCATTTTCCGGTACCCTGAACCTCAAAAAATCAGGTATAATGTCGTTTTCTAGACAAACTCTCAAAAATTTAACACGTTGGTGACAGTTGATAAATTTAACATATATGGTTGCATAATCACGGACTAATTTCCAAATGAGTTTGTTTTTCAAAGTCCAAATCAAGAATGGGGGTGGGAGTACAACTGTGCTCATTGGTTTGCAGGCCACGAGGAATAAACCTCACGTGACACAAAGCAACTCAAATAACACAAGTTTAACTCACCCTCTCCGTTGACGCCTCCTCGTCAGTCCGAATAACAGTTGCATCGCCTATGTTCACCAGTCTTCTTTTCTCCGCCCTCCTTCTCGACTGAGATTTCTTTTTCGTGTTTGAACGAAGCTTGGACAAGACAGCTGGCAGGTTGTCTTGGTGTTCGAACACGATCCTCAAAGACTTTAGCTCCAGCTGGACGTCCTGGTGCAGTGCCTGATATTCGTTGACCAGCTCCGTTCTTCTCTTCCTCTTTGAAATGAGACACTTTGTAAGAGGAATGACAAGAATACCAGAGCTGATCAGCTGGTTCCTGATATCCGGTGTACCGTTTCTCTGACAGTATACAATTGCGCTGATATTTGTCAGTGTCTTCAGGATTTCTGTCAGTTCCTCTGCAGTGCAAGCTCTGAAATTGTTTGGGCGGTGGCTGTTGAAAGAATTATTGATGATGTCGTGCCACACCACCACTTGACGTTTTTCTGCTAGAGGTGCCCTGCAGAGTAGGCTTGAGAGGTTCTTCTGTGGGTTCGTGGTGTTCGGGTTTAAAGAAAGTCCCGGAATAGCCAAAATTTTGGGTAGAAATTGTTCTTTTTCCGGGTTGCTAAGTTGTTCCAGGCTGTGGTAGAGTGAGCTAGCTGCCCTACCACAGCCCGGAAATTTATCCGGGCTGTGGTAGGGCAGAAAGGGCTGTGGTAGGGCAGAAAGTTTTCCGCAGCTGTACGTACTGCGGAAAACCCGGTGAACAGTTCCTTCAATCACACTTCTCTTGTTGTTGTTGTTGTTGCCCTTCTGAGATCTATTCGTCGCTCGTTGTTGGGTCCAGGGTTGTGGGGAGTTGTAGGAATATTGCTGTCTTCTTCGGTTGCTTCCAGAGATCGGCTGGGGTTAAGTTCGTAGGATTTGCGATGCAGTCGAACAGGTGTATAGTTGTGTGGCTTGTTTGCTGGCAGTCCGGGCAAAGTTCGCTTACTGTCGGGTCAATTCTGTTCATGTACGAGTTCAGGAACTTTGAGTAGCCGGATCTGAGCTGTGCCAGTGTTCTTCTTGTTGTTCTTGGTAATTCGGTTTCTTCTTTGGCAATTTTTGGTGGATTGTGTCCGAGGACTGCTGGGTATTCGTAGGTTTGTAAGGCGTCGCGTACCTCATTTGTGTGGATCGTTTTTAGCAGGTTTCTGTACTTCTTTTCGGTTAGAGGTCTATTGCTGTCGAGTAGAGGTTCAATGTATCTTTCTTCATATCGTGTTTGGAGGGTTTCTTTCATGAGTCTTGGTGGGTTCTTGGGTTCTTTCGTGAGTTGGTTTCCTGGGTGATCTGGCAAGTGGTTGGCGAGATGATGTTGTATCGTTCGCATTCTGAGGTGTCGTCTAACTGGTAGAACGGATGTTTCTTGGTGAAGGTGGTCTATGTGAGTCATGGCGTGGCATCCGGTGATTGTTCTCAGGGCGCTGTTTTGGACCTTCTGTAGTTTCTCGATGTTGCTTTCGGAGAGTGTGGGCGTTATCACAGCGGCGCCGTACTCAAGTTTAGAGCGAACAACGGCTTTGTAGGTCATGAGGAGTGTTTCCTTGTCGCTTCCCCAGTCAGTGCCGGCAAGCGCTTTCAGGGCGTTGTTGCGTTGAGAGCATTTCTTCGCAGTGTCTCTGCAATGGGCCCCGAAAGTGTGCATGGTGTCGAAAGTGATGCCGAGGATCTTCGCTTGGTTGTTCATTCTTATTTGTTCATTGTTTATCTTCACTTCAGGAACGGTTTTGTATTGGGCTGTCTGTGGTGTCATCAGCGTGACAAAACTCTTGTCAATGGAGATCTGGAGGTTTCGCTCTTCGAAGAAGTTCACTAGTTCTGCGAGGTACTCCGTTTGTTTTCCTGCCATTGCTGGTATGTCGGTGCCGAGAATGAGGGACGTGAAGTCGTCTGCGTAGGACTTGATCTTGATTTCGTCCGGAGGGCTAGGTGCGTCTGCGACGTAGTAGTTGAAAAGGAGTGGCGACAAAACTGATCCTTGTGGCACTCCAAACCGAACTATCCGTGCTTTTGAGAGAGAGTCGCGAAACAGTGTTCTTGCTTGTCGTCCTTGTAGGAAGTTCGCGAGCCATCTTTTCAGAGCACTGGGCAGACTGGTCTTGTTGATGAGGTCGAGGAGCTTGGAATGCTTAACCGTGTCGAAGGCTTTCGACAGGTCAATCGCGACAAGCAGAGTCCTGTCGGCTGGTTTCTTTCTGTTGAAGCCGTTGGAGATGGCTGTCGTGATGTCACAAAGAGCGGTGACCGTTGAGTGCTTGGACCGGAAGCCGTGTTGGTGACTGGCGAAGTGGAGGTGTTCGGTGATGAGAGGTTGGATGCACTTCTCCAGGATCTTCGAGGCTGGGCAAAGCAAGGAGACGGGTCTGTACGAGTTGCTGAGGCCTGCGTCTTTGCCTGGTTTCAGCAGCGGAATAATGACTGACGACTTCCAAATTGCTGGGATCTGGCATTTGCTGAGCGACAGGTTGAAGATCTTCGTGAGGTAGTTGATAGCATTTGGTCCGAGGTGTTTCATGTGAGTGGTCGAGATGTTGTCTGGGCCGAATGCTTTGGAGTTCTTCGCGTTCTGTATGGCAGTTTTTACTTGTTTGGAGGTAATGACTGGGGCGTCGTTGAGAGGTTGTTTCTTTATGTTTCTGTTTATTTTCCTGTTGTCTTTCTCGGTCTTGTGGTTCATTGGTCTTGCGTATTGTATATTGAAAGCGTTGCTCATACTGCTGGCGTCTTTAATCTGTTTTTCGTTGAATTTTATTCCTTGATTTGGAGGGGCACTTTGTTTCTTTCCTGTGATCGCGCCGATTGTCTTCCAGAGTTTGGTCACATTGGTTTTTCTGTCGAATGTTGCCACATGCTCTTTCCATTTCTCCATTCTTTGCTTGGAAATGAGGAAGTCTATCCTGGCGTTCAAGGTCGGAATGTCTTCGGAGTGAGGGTTGTTTCTTCTTGTTTCGTCTCTTTGCTTGATCAGGCGGGAGGCTGCTGGCGGAATATTGGGCTTGGCTTTGGGAATGCGTCCGGAGGGAATGTTGTGAGCAGAAGCAGTGTTCAGAATCTTCCTGAAGACTTTCTCTCCGCTGTGGGTGTCAGATGGTTCTTCTTCGCTCAGAAAGAGTTCTTCTGTTTCCTGTTTGAAGGTATCCCAGTCGGCTCTGCTGAGGTTCACGAAGGTGCGCTTGGGTGCTCTTACTTCTGTGTCCCTCTTCAGTTCGATCTTCATGGGAAGGTGATCTGAGCCCAGGGTGATCTCTGTTTTCCAGGAGAGGTCGAGAAGCAGGTCGGAGGAGGCCATGCTGATGTCCGGCGAGGATGGCTGATCTCCTCGCTGATCTCCTTCGTCTCCAACTGGAGCAAATGGTGCCAACCCTGCCGCAACAGCGACAGACTTCCCAGAAAGGGACCCTATTCGTCGTACACTTCTCTTGTACTGAAGGGGGGCGCAGCTTCTAAAATTGAGTATGGTACCTGTATCTGTTGGTTTTTGATATCACCCACAGCTTCAAAAACTGTTGGGTGGTATCAAAAACCAACAGTTTTTGAAGCTCCAAATTTTCATGTATTCAAGTTCATGAAAATTTCCATTAATTTCCTATTATATCGGTTTGATGGCCTCATTTTGTTTCATTTGACGATCAATTTAAGTTGCGTGTGTTTTGAGGGCGAAGTGGAATAAAAAATGCCAGAGAACGATTTTGTTCTTATCTCGCAGATTTCCTCAAATGAGCAGATACTTTAAGGAATTTTGGTTGTCCGGTAACCGTGAACGATTTTCCTCGTTATCATTTTTGAGTGGTATTGGATGAAACTTTGATGGGACAATCAAGCGATGATGCTCCAATTATGAAAACTATAGAATAAAGAGGATTAACCTAACCCACCTTAAGCTAGAGGAGGGTCTGAACAGTGGATCAAAATCGTTCTAATGCTACTGAGAATTGCTTTCCTTGAACCCACAGACTTGCACGGCCAAATTTATCATATAATTCGTTCAAAGTCCAGACCGCCTCTAGCTTAAGGTGGGTTACGTTTATCCTCTTTATTCTATAGTTTTCATAATTAGAGCATCATCGCTTGATGGTCCCATCAAAGTTTCATCCAATACCACTCAAAAATGATAACGAGGAAAATCGTTCACGGTTACCGGAACAACCAAAATTTCTTAAAGTATCTGCTCATTTGAGGAAATCTGCGAGATAAGAACAAAATCGTTCTCTGACATTTTTTATTCCCCTTCGCCCTCAAAACACACGCAACTTAAATTGATCGTCAAATGAAACAAAATGAGGCCATCAAACCGATATAATAGGAAATTAATGGAAATTTTCATGAACAGAAATTGCTCTAAATGCAATAAAAGGATGACTTCAGACCTAAGGCACTGGAAAATGAGGATTGTTTAAAGTGGAATCATAAAGATTTATTGTAATAAACTTCAGGTTTGCTATAATGCTACTGAGAATTCAGACAGCTGAACAAGGAACAAAAAGAGTTGAAGTCAACGCAAGTGACTCCACAGCTGCGTTGTACGAAAAAGCTATTGCTGCTTTTCAGTTGCCTACTCCTAAAGCATATCGATTATTTAGAAGCAGAGATTTGAAACATGTTATACCTCCGGGTAAGCTACTGTATTCAATTTAATTCTTGTCACGGCTTTTATTGTGTACTCTAACAGTGTTTCTGAATCTTTTACAGGCTCCTCGACATTAACATCTTCCAAGCTAAACCATGGCGATATGATTTACCTGTTTAAAAGTGATGCAAAAGTTGGAAATTTGGTTCAAGGAAAAGGGGAATTTCTCGTCCCTGGTTCATCAGTCTCAGACGTCTCTGCAGCTAGTAGTCAATCAGATACCTCAGTGATACCAGTCCAAGCCGTGTCAAATAGTGATATCGTGGAGGACGAAGTTGATAGAATCCTAAGTGAAATGAATGGTCAAATCGAGCGCGAAATGAACCCACTTCTCTGTAGTCACCATAAGAAAAATAAGTGTGTGCATTGCATACCACTGGATCCCTGGGATGAACAGTATTTAAACGAAAAAGATCCGCCTGTCAAAGTGAGAAAGAAAATATGGCGTTTTCTTTGGTTTTCACTATAATGTTTTGTTTCCATCCTTGTGCTGTTTTAGTTTTTGTCATTCCATTCGTACATCAGGAAGCTTAAGAGTGGTGCTGATAAAGGAAAATTTGTTTTCCTTGATGATATAAACTGCCAGATAGTTCCTGGATGCGCCGAACATCCGCCGTGGCCCAATGGTATCTGCACGAAATGTCAACCGAACGCAGTTACCTTATCTAGACAAATTTATCGACACATTGACTATGTCGCTTTCCAGAATTCAGCAATTATTCACAACTTTTTGAACTATTGGCGAAAGTCTGGATATCAAAGAGTTGGATACTTATACGGAAAGTACGAACCACATTTGGACGTACCACTAGGTACAAAAGCAGTTGTTTATTGTATATATGAACCACCACAGAGTTGCACGGCCAATTCAGTCGAGCTTTTGGAAGATCCTGATGAAGCTCAGGTTGACAGGCTGGCTCAGCTTTTCGGTATGATGATTTGTATTTCCATTTAAACAAGGAGAATCTTGCAGTTTGTTTGAGTTTCAAAAGAGAAAAAGGATTATGTTCCTCATTGGGGAATTTACAAAACTAAAGAAAACTTACAAAATTAGGATTGACAATAAAGGCAGTTGCATTTTGCTGACCAAGTACAGCTTACTCTGTCAACGCGTGAAAGTCATCAACGCTTTCCCATAGAACACATTTTTCCATTCATAGTAAGGAGATCGAGCGTCAATCTTCAGATGGTTGAAACAATCTGTCAATCCGATCAAAATATAAAGTTTTGGTCTTGAAATGTTTCCGCTTCTTTTAAATCGAATAAGTAGTTGTCAGAGCTTCGAAGTGGTTAACGTAATCAAAAATATTTACATCGTACTTCCCGTGGAAGAGTCCATGAGAAAACAATAAATCAATAACTTCGAGTTTATTTCAAATCGGATATGTGTTCAAGTTCAGAAGGGACGATTACAATCACCAGTCATCCCAATCTATTTAACGCATCGTTTATTGAAAGACTATAACTTGATGAACTGTTAGTGTTTCGCGATTTTTTGCGTGAAATAAGCCCGGAGGTATATTTTAAAGTTCTCGCAGCATTTGGTCGGTTAAGAAGATCACAAATTATTTCGGTCAAGAAGATCACAAGTTACTTCTAATTTTTTACTAATATTTTTTCTTTCGTTATTTCCAGAATTTTCTACTTGAAATAACAAATTTAGTTTTTTTTAGCTATTTGTTTTTCGTACAATTTAATATTTTCCTTTCTGTAGAGTTTTTTCTCATTTCAAATTCAAGTGCAAATGTAAACAGGATAATTTAATTTAGGTGTTTCGTTGTTATATTTACCAAAACTTTCTGATAGCGAAGAAAAATGAAATAGAAGTCAGTTTTTTCGCCAGCGTTTTTTTGGGTTAATTTTTTGGGTTTGGACTTCTTAAGAGCAATTTCTTTGTAATGTTTGAGAATTTTGTCTCCTAATAGGCTCAAATTATTGACACATCGAATTTTCGACAAAAACTTCAAACTTTTTTCTATACTTTCTGCTTCTAAAATTTTTTCTTTTAAAATTTATCCAGTCTTTGTCGGAATTGTTACCGCTCGGTAATTTTTTATGCCAGTTTCATGCTGGCTGTTGCTTTCCGCCACATGTTATCATTATAAATGAGACAAACATGAAATATTCGAGTGTTGTTTTTTGGCGTTTTTTAACAATTCGGCGGCCTTCTGTATCGCAAGTGGTGCGACGCTCTGCTTCGCCTCTATGTGGAGATTCAGCATGCGGAACTGCGATCCCTTCCCCATTAGCACCTGTCTAGACCAGTTTGACAATGCCGTTCACTTATGTCTCGAGTCCATTACTGGTTCAGCCTTGTTGCCGTCTCAACGCCTGCAGTGTTCACTGCCTGTGGCTAAAGGTGGCGTCGGGCTTCCAATTTCTTCTTCGATCGCCCCAGTGGCCTTCCTCGGGTGCTACATTGACACCAAATATCTCTCTGACCGGATCTTTCACAACACCACGGTGCCCTCCACCGTGTTGAGTTGTTCGTCCTCCCTCGAGTTTCTCAGTGACAACGCTGACATTCTTTTAATGGCCCTCAAAGCTCAAATGAAACTTTCAAGCCTACTTGATTCCAAGTCTTGGTCCGAGCTCACGTCATCCGCCTCTACGCCCCGAGATAGAGCCAGATTGCTCCCCTGTTCGCTCCCCAACAGTGGTGAATGGCTTTCGGCAGTCCCTCTGAAGGCGCTAGGGTTAACCTTTTCTGCAGCCGAGTTTCGGTTTGCAGTTTGCTATCGACTCCGAGTTCCCCTACTCAACAGCGAGTCTACGTGCCCTAAATGTTCCAGGACTCTAGATACGTTTGGCGATCACGCCCTCGCTTGTGCAGCCGACGGAGACCGCATATCGCGCCATGACAGACTGCGATGTCGTTTTCAACAGCGCCGCTACGCAACAAGGCAGCTCTCTACCCCGTTTTAGAAAAAGCAAATCTCACTTCTTCTCGCTCTCGCCCGGGAGACATTTATCTCCCCTGTTGGTCCCGAGGTCGTCCAGCCGCTCTGGACATGACCGTCATTAGTTCCCTGCAGTCATCTACTTTGCAAAGTGCTGGAACTAGTGCCAGTCACGCCCTCGAAATATCCGACGAGCGAAAGTTCACAAAGCACCTTTCCGCGTGCGAAGAAGCTGGCATCTCGTTTGTGCCCCTCTCTGTCGAGGCCCTTGGCGGGTGGTCGCTCATTGCCGCTAAAACCATTCGTCGCATGTGGAGATTGTATGATCAGTTTTTTCGCCACAAACTTTTCTTTTTCATGTATGGTGGTATATGCCAAAACTACTTTTTTCCAGTTGTCTTTTGGCTAGGTTTAAAATTAAAATAGTTGAAAAAACGGAAAGAACGCAGAAACTTATTAGTCAATTTGCACAGTTCACCTATTCCAACGATAAAAGGAGCCATGTAGTTTCGTTGGAAATCGTCGAAGTATGACGCCCATTTTGTAGACAGTTTTTTAAGTTTCCCGAGAAATGACTGCTGATGCAAAACAAAGTAACCAAATGCTTGTTGTGAAGAGCGGTCAAAAAGTAGACACGTCTCAAGCCAATCAGAATCGAGATAAGAAGACAAGCGTACGAAATTTTTTCTTTTCTTTTTAGCTCACGAAGTTTCCACTTTATGACTTGTCTACTTTTTGCTACGTAACTGCCTGCTGTTTTCACATACTCAGACTTGAATGACAGTTGTTATGGGCTGACGGAAAATTAAGTTTTTATGTGAATTGGTTTATTTCGATAGTCGTATCTCGATCTGTCCTCACACTGTAAATTGGTTCTAGATGCCAGAAATTTAAGCATGAATTTCTCGAGGCTAGGGTTTTTCAGAATTGAAATCAACTTGTACTTAATCTATTGCGAAAAGTTCTACCTCGGCCATAATTCTTTCCCTCCCATAGAAATTGTCAACACAACCAAAGAAAGTAAATGTTCATAATTGCAGTCTGAATTTTTATTTAAAGAAGGTTAGCATTATCCACATTTGAATGTTTTGAATTTATTTGATATCTTTTTTTTGCGTGAAAAAAGACTAGAGGTATATTTTAAAGCTCTCGAAGAGTTTAGGCGGTCAAATATAAGAATGTTTCAAACAAATTATGATAATCTATTGATTTTGGGTTGATTTGTGATCAATTGAATATGTTTTCACATTTAGGTCTGCTTCGTGTGGGTTGGATATTCACTGATTTGCTTCCCGAAGACATGACTAAAGGAACGGTGAAGTACCTCAGAGGTGCAGACTCATATTTTTTGTCGGCCGAGGAAACTATAACAGCAGCCTTCCTACAGACAAAGCATCCGAATATGTGTAAAATAGCTAAAAACGGATGCTTTGGGTCCAAATTTGTGACAGTGTGCGCTACTGGAAACTCTGAAAATCAGATTCACTTCGAGGCCTATCAGATCTCCAATCAGGGAATGGCGCTTGTCAGGGATAAGTGTCTGCTGCCGACTCACGACTGTCCAGAACTGGCATTTGTGAAGGAGAGCTCGTCTGATCAATATGTTCCAGATGTGTTCTTCAAGTACAAAGATGAGTTTGGTAATGAGAGAACGAAGCTAGGACGCCCTCTGCCAATTGAGTATCTGCTAATAGACGTGCCTTCTGCTTTCCCCAAAGAGGAAGTCTTGTTTTTCAACAAACACGCCAAAAATGTACGTACATAAAAGCAGTCCGAGTTTGAGCTAGCTAAGTTCTCACACTAACAAATTCGCTCAACGGGAATGGCTATTTTGCTTCAAGTTCAGAATAAAAAACTAATTTCTTATTATGGATTTCGGAGATAGATAGAATGGATTTCGGAAATTAGTTGCTGAATCCCGACTGACCTAATGCTTAATTCCGAAATCCGTCAAATTCTTGTTCTAACTGCAACCGAACACAGATTTTTTTGAACCAAATATGTCACTAAACTTTGCCAGTCAGCATGCACAATTTGTGCATTGTGCATCGGTTTTCACGGAAGAGTAGTATTGGGCCACAAACAGTAGTAATCGTTATTACAAATTGGAACATTGCCTTTTTGAAGGCAAACAGCTGGTCTAACATCACTGAATCATTTCCTCAAATCTGTACTGTCGAATTTTGAGCATGTCTGAATTTAAGTAACCGTTTTAATCGATTTTTTTAAACGTTGGCATGTCCCATATATTGGTGGATAAAGATATAACATTGCTGTAAAATTTCAGTTTTTTCTTTTCATTTATTCGGCTTAAAGGTTTCTGCTGGCTCAGTGGTTTCGAGTTTTGTTGTTTGAAAAGCGGATAAATTAATGGTTGTGTGTATTTCAAGTGGGAGGACTTTCAAACTTTTATTCAAACAGTTTCTTCCGACTCAATGGGTATCTGCCCAAGTATTGCCTGCTTGTAAAGAGTCGATGAACAAAGTTCAGATTTTCCATGTAAGTCGCGATAGTTTTTTTCAGGAAAAGTCTTAAAATTTGATCAGGCTCACTTTTTCGCAGTAAGACTTTTGATTTCGTTGGAAGTTCAGTTCTTTTCGTGTGTTAAAAGGAAGGCAAACTCCACTATCGAACAGAAAAAATGTAAAAGTCACAAAAACATGATCGAATTCTAGTTTCTCAAGTGGAATTTTTTTCTCCAAATTTTCCAGCGAAATAAAAAACTTACCTATCAATCCAGTCTTTCCAAATTCAGTTAATTTTAGCTAAAAAGGTATCAATCATGATTTGTTTTATCAATCTATCAAGTCGTTCTTGTTTACTTGCGTTCATTGATTTTGTTGCCAACTGTTTATAGGCTATGTTGAGGTTTCGTAATTTTTGTTTCGAAGCCTTTAATAACAGTTGTTTTACATTGCATGTTTTACTTTGATTTGTTTTTCTTGGCATGTTTTTCTCTAATTGTTTTTCGTTCTAAACGAATTGAGGCAAAATTGTGAAAATTTTCATAGATCTATTTTTCGATATTTTTACCCCTGCGATAAGCAAGGGTATTGCAACTGGGTACTGACATTTTGCCGTAAATAATTTTGTTCACAGAATAGTCAATTTAAAATGCACTTAGAACTGGTTTATTACTATTGTACAACCTTACATCTAAAAAATTTTTCGGCCTGTTATAAAACTCTAAAATTAAAAGGAGCCCGTTAAGATGTTATTCATGGTGGGGAAAATGACGGGGATCTTATACTCAAAACAGTTTGCTTTGATACAGACGCCTGAACTGTTAAACGGCATCGAACTATGAAAGTATAAAATATATGGAACCTGCTGGGATTTTATAGGTATAGACTGCTGGGGATATTAGCCTCGAAACAAGTTTTAGTTTGTCTTCATACTAGTCAATCGCCCGAACTTTTAAACGCAAGGAGCTTCTGTCCAGTCAACGAGCATTCTGCCCATTCAAAAAAGATATCTCAGTGCCAGTCAAGCAAAAGAGCGAGGGGAGTGTAGCTTTCTTTGTTTCGATTTGACTGTGGATCAGATCAGGGTGACCATTTGGTCACTATTTTAGTGACCAGTCACTAATTGGTCACTATTTTTTCAATGGTCACTAAAAGTCACTATTTACACTATTGACAAAGCTTTGCGTTGCTTTCGACATCAATTCTATTGAAGTGGTAGACAATCTTTCTAATCTGAAAGGCAAGCCTGAGTATCAGTCCTTAACTCTGCGTGAGCTTTTTGTGCAAAAGAAGTTACCTTCTGTCGTTAGAAGCCTTGTTGAGCGTCTGGAGGTGATTTTACCACACAATATGATCGTTCAGACGGGTTTCTCGAAGATGAAGTCTACTGAGTCGGCATATCAAGTAAACATGTCAGCAAATACATGCAACAATATCCGTCTGATCAAGGAGTACTTCGATCGAGACACATTTGAATGTTATAAAATCCCTATGACACTCATTAATAGCACGAAGAGTGCAAGTGCCGTTTGCAAGTCAGAAGAGAATGAGTATAGAGAGCTGAAAAGGGCTTGCAAGAAAAAGCTGAAACGGTTATTGGCGAAATTGGAGTTTTCAAAAGGCCATCAGAAAGAACTAGCGGAAGTTGATGATGAAATTAAGAAAGCAGGAGAACTTCTTCAGGCAGCAAAAGCCAAAAAACAGCGTTTGAATGACTCATTGGCTGCCAAAGTTGGGCACAGTGATTTGCAATCCGAAAGTGTAATCACTCAAATGTTTGGCAATTGAACTATGTTCTCAAAACTTAGTTTTTTCTACTGAGTTAAACCAGAATCAAGCTCAAATTAAGGCGAAAAGGAAATAGATTGAAAGAAAATGGTCGTTCGCTCCGTTTTGTTTTAAAATATACCTGTTTTTTTAATTGGTGTCCCTGGTGAGGTTTTATTGAGGCTTAATGTTCTCACTATTTTTCTCTCGAAAGTTTTTCAAAAAGTGCCTAAAACTAAAAAAAACTTTCAGCCTGTTTGTTCAAAATTATGCCTGCGGCGCATAAATTTTGGCCAAAACGGACTTTTTAGTGCTTTGGCAGAGCTTGAAAAATACAGTCTGTTTTGCTGATTTGGCAACTGTGAGAGGTTCTGATAGGTGTTAAGAAGTCTTCAGTAAACAATTTCAGAAAGCCTTAAATGAAGTCACTGTAAAATGATGTTTCTTCCACCACTTCGCTGAAGCCGACTAGCTTAATGTTTCCGAAATATAATTGGCACCTTTTTTCGAGAAAATTCAAAAACACGCATACTCCTGAAAATCATTCGTTGTGCTGGCATTTATTCCTGAAGTCAACATGGCTGTTTTGTGCAATGAAATTTGTCATCATAGCGATGAGGCTTACCCCTGATCAGATGATTTTAAGTAGCTCTGGGTAAGAACTTTTTCGAGGACGTAGGGGCTTAGGGCAAGTCCTCATTTCCTTGTATAATGAGTTTGAAATCGACAAAATGGGAGACAGAAAACTAACTACTTTGTCGGAGATAGCGCCGGACCTTCCAGATGGAGGTGGGGTCTGTTCACGCTATCGTTCACAAAATCATTCAGATCCTCAGAAACGAATAAAGTCTGTCGGAGAAGAGTTTTGTCAAAACAACTACCGAAGAGTATTCCGCCAGTAAAAAAAACGAAGCCAGTCCAGATTAGTTAGTCAAACAACTAAAACAGGCAATTTGAGGGCAACTTCTTTTGATCTCATCAAATGTTTTAAAGCTAATCGTCTTGTCATGTAATTGTTATAAATGCGACAATTTGTCAGATGCCTTAATTTGTCGCGATGCTATGTTATCGTGCATTTCAAATGACAAAAAAATTTTGTTGCCATCTCAAGTTAAATATTACGAACAAAATGATTTTGGTTTAAGTGGGATCTTCTCTTTATTAGTGTTTTTAAAAAATATATATTTTTTTCTAGGTACATCGGTTTTTTACGGTAAAACTTGTCTTTTAGAATTAGTTTACGACGTTAAATGACATAGGTTCAATCCCTAGCAGGAACTTTCTCTCTTGCGAGCATGGGTTTTTCTGGCTGCGTAATCATTTTCAGTATGAACGATTTTCAAGGAAAAAGATAATATATTTTTTCAGTTATATATTTTTCTGAAAAATTGGTTTCATTTGAAAATTCAGGACTTGGATCAGTTTTTAGGCATGGCCGTTATTTAATGTTAAAACTCATAATTAATTATTTGTTTTCTTAATGAATCGCAGGTTTTTGATTCTTTGGAATTTTTACAGCCCTTTCCCGGATGCAACAGAGACTCAATCGGTGAAAGTCAAAATTTCGGATCTCTCTCGCAGTACTTCCAGCAGTTCTCAGACGACGAGTTTTTTGAAGCAATTGCCGATTTTCAGCTGCTAATAGCTGTTGCCAAGTTGGACGTGTACCCTATGATGGAACATTTAGAAGAGTTGATTGACGGTATGCGGGAGCAAAACAAGGCAGCTGTGAACAGGTGGGCTCAAAAAGAACACTGGCAGACGGTGAGTCAGCTGATGAAGGCTCAGGGGGGCCACGGGCAGGGCAATGGCATAGCGGGCTCGGATGGAATGGACATGTCTGATTTCGGACCAGCTGGTGCTTCAGGTGCATTCTGGGATTGTAAACACTGTACATTCCATAATGCGGAGCCAAAAAGCTCTTGTGAAATGTGCGGTCTGCCTAGAAACGGATAGACTGATGCCGATAAACTTACCATGAACTGAATTGATATATATTATAGATTGTAATGTAAATTTCCTCTAAGTGTGTAATTTTTAAATGAGCTGAATTTGACGACATTAAACACACGCGAGTGCGTGTTGAATATAATTGCGCTTTAACTTGTTTTTTTTTTTCGAATCCTTGAAAGTAAAGTTGGACCAGTTATCAGTAATTTGAGCGATTTAATTTACTATTTATAACCCAATAATTTCGATGCATTTGTAAAAAAAAACTTAAAACAGTAGCAGACGATCGGTTCTCAAGCTGTTGGCTACGTCTCAAGATATGTTTCTAGCCGCAAATTAATGGCGGCTACTGCTAAGATTCACTAGAAGAATAGCAGATAGCTCTGTGTAGGTCAAAAAGTCAGGGGTGAAGCGAAAACGTAACTGCAATTGTTTTAACGAAGTATTTGGGGCACTATCTAATTTTTTCACCAGAATTGGAGAATCAATGAGGTCAGTTCATTCGGAGAAGCCGTTCCTTAACATGGCCAATCTTATGAAGGCATTCTCTGGCCATTAAATTGTGGTATCAATTTTTCTTCAAAAACGACTTCGTTTTTAAGTCCATGAACGAAATGAAGACACCTTCACTTGTATAGGTCATGATTAAGAGTCGATAAACGAAATTCAGACTTTTATACAGGTCATTAAAGCTGAAAATATATTTCTGCTTAAAGCTGGGTAAGTTAAGCTCTGCAATTACGAAAATGTAAGGCCACGAAAAACATGACCGACTTCTAGTTTCGGAAAGGTTATTTATTTTCAGATTTCCCCTGGATAACTGGATCAAAACTCATATTGATCCAGTTATCTCAAATTGATTGAATTTTAATAAAAAAGCCAATCATAAATTGTTTTGAAATTCAAAGAGCTGTAAAGCCATACATTTTTTTAGTTCTTTCAAAAGAGGATTTTACTTAAGATTATCTATTGATCTAGTTTTTTCTAACTGGGATAGTTTTTCGAAAAAAAGTTTCGCTCATAAAATGTTCTTGGAATTTCTAGAGATTCAGTGTGAGATTTTTTTTCTTCGAATTTCGAATTTTTCGTTTTACTTGTGTTCATTTCCTCAGCTAAAACAGCTTTCATTTTTGCGAGAGTCATGTGTTCATGACTTTAAACTGGAATCAGATTTTTATATATTGAAGCAAGTTTTCTTAAATCTTACAGTTGCTTCTGGATGAAATGACCTGCAAGTGCTGACCAAGTAGAAAATTTAATTTTCCTCCTTATCACACAAGCAAAGCTATCACACAAGCTTTCTAACCTAAGTCGGAAAGCAAATATTAGTGTTCACCTTGAAAATGTTCATTTTGATCACGCCAATTACAGTCAATGCTAGGGATATTAACCCAGAGTATAATATTAAAAATAGCAGTTTAGCCTCAAGGAATCATGTTTCTGTAGCGTAGAGGTAGCAAAGGAGACCCGCAACTAAGTAAGAAGGTTCGAACCTGGGAAGGGTCAGATGTTTTAATGAACTTATTCGTGTTCTATTTAAAATGCGCCCGCTCAATAAATTGAGGCATGTTGATTGGTAATTTTTTTTTTCAAATTGTCTGCTAATATGTCATAATTTGTTTTTGTCACTTAGCAATTATGTAGACTCATAATTGGCGTGCGTCACTTAAGAAGTTTTGTATACTCAAATTTTCATCATTCAGTTTTTTGCAGTAGATTTATTGGCCATTTTTTTGCTTGTTTATGTAAAGTGCATCATCGCCTCTGTGTGAAAAAATAATCTTGATTACTTAATGCTGGTTACTTTACCAGTACTCTTTATTAGTAGTTGAAATAGTACTCGTAATAATGAAGTGTTTCTTTGGGGAAAATTTTTTTGGGTGTCTATCTGTCTGCTTGGTGTTTGACGCCTTAGTGTCCACTGTATGCTTTTTTTAGTTTTTCCCAGTAGCGTTATTGGTCATCTTTCTGCTTTTGTACGCGAAGTGCAACTTCGCCTCTGTGTTGAAAATTATGTTCGATTGTGCGGGAGCGTATTTTAAGTGATTTTTTTTTGTGGGAAAAGTTAGGTGGCAAATAGCCGTTTGTCTGTTTATTCATTTTCATCGGCCTATTTTGCAATGTATAGACTCATCTGATTGAAATTTTTTTGACTTATCGTCGGTCATAATTCGAGATTGTTTTCATTTATTCTTAATTAAAAATCTATCACCTATGATAGTATAAATTACAATCCTTGTTTTTTCATTCTTTTCAGGTTTATTCACTTATTTTCACTCTTTTATTCTTAATTTTTCTACAAAAATTTTTGCCTTATTTGTCTAAATTACTATGACTGTCTAATATGCCTAAATTATCTTTTTAAGTCAGATCGTTTTATCACACCAAGCGAAAAAAACTACTAATTTGGAAAATAACTTTCTAAACCGTAGTTTTCTAAAGTCTATAGTCGGAGTAATCTGTTCTACTTGCACAGTAACCTGCTATCCTTGTTTCAAATATAGAGTCAACTCGAATTTGTTGGCTCTACGAGAAGCAAATTATGCTCCTCAATAAGAACAGAGTAACTGGATCGAAAAATTTTTTAGACTTTGAGTTTCGTACGCGATTTTTTTTTTTTAGATTAACACTACATCTTTTGGCTCATTGCACATTTTCCATTGGTCCATTTTTTGCAAATTGGTTACTTATATCTAAAAAGTGTCTATTTGATAAAATATTTTAAATTTTTGGAAAAAAGTTGAAATAAAATATTTTTTGAAAGGCTTTAAAAAAGTTCGGTCTCTGTTCAGGTTTCTTGGTTTTCTTGTCATTTTTTCAAAAATCTATTTTTGCCTTTTTGTGGTCTTTTCTCATTGGTTAGTCTTCAATAAATTCAAGACTGTCTAGCTTGACCAATGTTTTTCAGCGTAATAATTTCATGAATTTTATCTTAATGTATGCTGACTGATATCCGCCGCGCTCTAGAGACGGTCTTAAGTGTACTGAGTAGTCTAACTAACTGAAAAAAGACCACGAAAAGGCAAAAAAAATGTCCAATAGATAAATTAGTTGCTGAACAAATGATCCCACACACACACGCACACACGAGGGAGGTTTTTCGTTCAAAGCCGACTCTTTTCGTTGTCGCGTACGTGGATTTTGTTTGTAGACTTATCAGCGGAACAAAAATGTTACTTTTTAGCCCATTTTTTCCATTTTATTAAATTGCTAAAAAGTGTGAACCACAATTAAATTTTGAAATTCCAAGGGCTTCAGGGTCATTTCTTAGGCTGGAAATTTAAAATCATTGGTTTATGAAGTCTCCTTTAGTTTAACGATCTTTTTCCAGCTGTCTGTTGGCTCTGATTCTCAAATGCAGTTTGTTTGACTCGAGATAAAAAAAAAGTTGACTGATGATTGTTTTCAGGTTTTTGTTTTTTGACTCAGTAGCTTGTTAGTAGTTTCGTTGGCTAGCTGCTGCGATATTTTGTATCGCAAGTGGTGCTAGCTAACTTCGCTTTGACTCTTTTTTGCTTATTCACGTTGCATAACGTCAGAAAAAAAAAATAAACAACAAATATGGAAAGCCAGGTAGCAGAGTGATAAGACGCTCCCTTGGAGAAATTCAGACCACGCCACATCAATGGTTGCAGGAAAATTATCTATAACATGACCGTTTAGCTTCAAATCTTCTGCAGCTTTACTGCAGCTGAAAGTGTTCAAGCTGCGGAAGATTTGAAGCTAAAAGGTCATGCTATAGATACTAATTAAAACTTCGATTTCACTTTTGATTTCATGTGTGATTCTAGAACGTTTTTTTAAAATTTGCCTCCTAAATTTGTCGGCATTTGTTTCGGAGAAATAATTTCAACGTGAATACCAACTGTGAAAAAAATTATCTAGTTCCTGTGGTGTTGTTTTTTTCTCAGGAAAGCATCCCTAAAACTGTGCACACTCGATTGTGATTTTTCCGGTTTTATTGATTTCCTTTAGAGTTTGCCGCAAAATGATTTGCTAAATTGAAAATATATTAAGCTCTCCATTCATTAAAAAAATTGCGAATGGCCTAAAACAAAATAGAGAAAAAATGGAAACCAATACAATTTAGGTTACCTGCTCTTCCAAATTAATTATTTGGTGCAATTTTTAATTTCTTTTTGAGCTGAAATGTTCAAACTTATCTGCTAAATTATAATTAAACTACACTCTCCAATAATAAAAACGTGCAAATGGCCCAAAACTTGTCAGTGAACAAATGCGGTTTGTTTTCTAGGTTTACTTTTTGACTTTTGTTCCGACTTTCGAAAGGCTTTAAAATAGTTCGGTCTCTGTTCAGGTTTCTTGGTTTTCTTGCTTTTTTGTGGTCTTTTTTGCTTTTTTTGTGGTCTTTTCTCAGTTAGTTAGTCTATTCAATAAATTAAAGACTGTCTAACGCGACCTATGTTTTTCAGCGTAAAAAATTTGATGAATTTTGACTTAATGTATGCTCACTGATACCCATCGCGCACTAGAGACGGTCTTAAACTTACCGAATAGTCTAACTAACAGAGAAAAGACAGATAAAATAGTTGCTTAACAAACGATCCCACACACGCACACCTGCACACACACACACACACACATAAACACCAGGAAGGTTTTTGTGCGTGTGAGACTGACATTTGGGTCGCAACCCGTTTCAAAGCTGAGTCTTTTCGTTGTCTCAAAAAACTAATCATCATCGCAATTTGGCTCAAATACATTTTTTTGGGTTTTTTCTTGATTTCTGAGAAAAGGTTCGATTAATTCAGAAACGATTCATTTAAAATTTAGTTCGCTCCTGGTTTTACGAAAAGCAGGAGGTATTTTCAAGCATTCAAAAAAGGCATCTTTTGTTCCATAAGAATGAAGGAAAACACGTAGGGTTTTTTCTTACTGGTAGGATTCATTAAAAGAATGATTCAATGTCACTTTAAATACATATTCGTTTTTTTGCGCGTGTTGTGTCTGATTTTAGCATCTTCAAACAAATATATTGATTAAGTAATAAAAAGTTTTTACTGATTTTTTCTAATTAGAAATAATCAGAACTCCAACTTATTTACCTTTTTTTCGATAATTTTGTTTCAGTTTCATGTCGAGGTATATTTTAACCAAATGTCAGTTCAGAAACAAATCGATTTGCATGTTGGGAAAAAGCTCGAATTCAATTCAGTTCAATTACCCAAATATTAAATTTTCAATTTGAATTTCATTTTATCTAGAATTATCTTTTTCTTGCTTTTTCTAGAAAAAAAACGATCATGGGTTATAACATATCCGCATTATTCTTTAAAAATCGCAGCTTAATTAGTTCTGATTGTATCGCAGCAAATCTGTAATTTTTGTGACCCTGCTACAACTGGTTTTGAATAATTTTTGGCATTAAAAAGTTTGTTAAGCTTTGGGTTGCGAAATTTGTTTGCTTTCCTTTCGCAACAATTCAATTTTATAGGCTATCGCAATAAGCTTTAGTCAAATAGTTTTTAAGTTCATAAAATTGCGCATAAATTAGCTGCGAAAATGGTCAAACTGGCAAGTTTCAAACCCCAGTATCTTAAATAAAAACAATATCAATTATTGTTTCTAAATTTGAACTGCTGGTGTTAGTAATAAGTTGTTGAAAAAACAGTGGTACTGAAAGTTGTTGAAAAAGAATGATACTGAAAATTGTTGAAACTTTTGTATTGTTCACTGAAATCGGTCTGATCAAGAAACACATTTTGTTGTTTGTTATAATTATTCTTAAACCGATGCGACTGACTGTTCGCTAAACCAATTTTCAATTTTTATCCTGGACTTTGAAAAACCAGCTGCTCGTTTTTTGATCCAACGAAAATTGTTGGTGCAGATACAGTCATCTATAGATATTTGTGCATAAAATTTTATTGTGTTTTAGTGTGCGTTGGTAACCTCTTGAACTACTTAAATAGTTTCATAAAACCAATAATTTATCATGGCATTTTTATATAGAGTTGCTCAAACAAAACTTAGTAACAAGCTTGAAAACTTCCAAAATATACGACATTCTAAAATCACTAAGAAGCTTAATTCCATGACTTCGTTATGTTTGTTCCATATAGTAGTACAAAGATCATTGTAAGTCCTCAAATCAGATTGAACAAAATATACAATGTTTTCTATTCCTAAAATGTTTTGGACAATGCGCCTGAACTTGTTAGTCAATTTTGATTCAATTGCTTTTGATAAATTTCTGATAATTTAAGTTTTTCTGATAAATTGCCTGTCACTAAAAAAACGCGTGCTGCTAGAAGCTGTCATCAGTAGCTTTTTGTTTGAAATTGTTACTATTGCGATAAGCAAGGACCTTTGTCGTCGCAGGCGTACTCGTTACCTTGCAATCGGGTACTTGACTTTTTTGGCGTAATAACTTAGGTCATAGGACGCATCGTGGTACCTTGGCTCAAGATGAATTCAAATTTTAGGTGGCTGATGCACATTTAGCCTGAAGGTAACGAGTAACCTTTGGACGACAAAAGTTCTGAGTTCGAATCTGACCAGGATCTGTTTTTTTTTTCAAACGATAAATATTCCGGTTCAAAAAAAATCGGCCTATTACTTGTCTGCTTATGTTTTGTCGGCTTAGCTGTCAGATCTAAGAGTCGTTTAGTTTTGCTGTAAACAATTTTATGTGGTTAAATTAGGTGCTTAAGCATTTTAAAAACCTGGCTGAATCAAAATATTTACATTGGTTGTAATTTTACCAACTCGAGTTGTTAACATTTCGTTTTTTTTTTCAATTTTTTTGCGTCTTTTTTTCAGTTTAATCGGTTTCGGCTTTCTTATATCAACTTAAAGGCCTTTTATTGCGTCTTTTGATGGCCGAAAAAAGTTTTTGTGAGCATAGGTGTTCTGAGTGGAAGGCAGAGTTTTTTTAATTACAAAAAGTTTTTTACTCTTGCGATAAGCAGGGGTATTGCAACCGGACTTTTGTTCCAGTAAACAACCTTGTCCACAGGACTTGTCTAGATGTCTGGACTCATCGCTACCTTGTTTCATAATGTATTCAATTTTTTTAGCGTTCCTGGCCAACTTAGCCTGGAGGTAGCAAATATGCCTGGGACGTCAAAGTTTCTGGGTTCGAGTCTGACCAGGACCTGTTTTTTTTTTCAAACAGAAAATGTTGTTTCAATTAAAATTATCGGCCAATTATTTGTCTGCTTATCTGTTGTCAGCTAGTTATCTCATCTTGAAATTATTGTTTTTCGGCGCGCATTTTTCTTTAATGTTGTTTTTAAGTGTTTTGTTTACGCCTCAATTTTGTAACTTTATTAACCGTGACTTCGTATTTCCATGCTTTTTGTTTCGCTGAAAAAATTGATCGGTCAAAAATATTTCGGCCAATTTTTTATCGGCCTAATGACCTAATTTTGTGCCGTTTCAATATCAGCACAATTTCAGCGCTCTCATCCGCACTTTTCAAGCTGGTTGTACGTTTACCAATCGATTCGATGAAATTGCATTTTTTTCGTTTTTAGTTTTTTTTCAGAAAATTCCCTTGAATTTCAAAAAAAGTATCAATTGAAAAACAACTTACTCTTCTGTGTACCTGCGTACTCCCCTAGAGTTTTTCTACTTGACCCCTCTGTTTACAGCCTTCGAAAAAGTGTGGGGGAATATTTGAACCATACTTTAGACTTTTTATTTTCTCGAAAACTGTCCCTCTCAAATATGTTTTGGGTTTCAACGAATTGAACTGTTTTGAAAAGTTCCTCTGCATAAGTGGTTACAACTAAGTTTTTTTTGTTTTTAAAGTTATGGCCCTCGGAATAGTCAAATTTTGATTTTTGACCGTTTTGTGAATCTTTTCGACTTTTCCCAAAAACTAACCTCTCAAATCCTCTGATTTTGTAGGTTCAATGAGATAACGGGCAGTAAGAAGCTCCTCTGCATTAGCTGACACTAGCAAAAAGTTTCAGACAAAAAGTTATTGCCCTCTGAAAAGTAAAATGTTGATTTTCTGGCCGTTTTAAACTTTTTGATTATTCTCGAAAACTACCGTCATACCTGAGAATTTGGGTTCACTTCTCAGAACCAGTTTTGGAAAGTTCATTTGCATATGCGGCCACACCCAAGTTTTTTTGACTCAAAGGCAAAGTTTTGGCCTTTGCAAAAGAAGTAAAAAATTTAATTTTGTGACGTTTTTTTTAATAGTTTTTGACTTTTCGCAAAAACTACCCTCCTAAGTCTAAGATTTTGGGTTCAATCAAAATTACCGGTTGCGTGAATCCTTTCTGCATAACGTTTCTGCTTAATTTTTTTCCCACAAAAAAGTTATGATTCTCGGCCAAATCTGATATAATACTTAATAATTGGCTTTATTGTAAGAAAAAGTGACGGCCTTCAAACCAGTCAAAGTTTTGAGACTTTGACATCTTTTTGGAAACTTAATGACTTCATGCGAAAGCTACGAGGCCAATTCTCAAGTTGTGTTCTCAAGTTGTGGAATATCTTGAACGTTTATAGAACTTTCGACCGTTTTTTGATAATCTACTGAATTTTCTTAAAATTTACGAAATCAAATCTGAGACGAAAAGTTCCATTGAAAGAGCGGGTTGCAATAATTGTTTCTGCAAACACGGCGATTCTTAGTAGAGAAACAACTAAGTTTGAAAACAAAATCCAATTTTTGATATCACATTTCTCTTGTCGCATCAGTATAGTAAGTTCATTCAATATCAAACACGTACCTCCAGCTTTAGCTGGCTCCTATTTTTTGTTTTTCAAGGCAAACGAAAATTTTGGCTCACTCAGTTTTTATGCAACATCTATAAAATTTTTTGACTAATATTTTTTCATGTTTGTGGTGCATCGCAAGTGGTACGAAGCTCCGTTTTGCCTCAGTGTTAAGTTTTTTCGGCATGAAGAGTTTCTGCTGAGGTGTTTTCTGTTTTTTTTGCCGCTGGGTAAGTGTTGTTCCGATGATGATTCTGCATTCTTTTTTCTGTGAATGTTTTTTTTTTCAAAATTATCTTCATTCAGTTCGATAAATCAGGTTGTATGTATATTGAGTGATAAACACATCGATATTACGTTTTTACCATCAATTTTTTGATTTTTCGGATTTTGATTAAGCTCTGGGCTTCGTTTCATAATTGTGTATACCATCTTGATGTCAGTAGATAATGGTTTTCGTGGATACTATTTGGGCAGTATTAAAAAAAGTTTCAATTGTTTAAATTTTTTTTTCTATTTTCTGTTTGTTTTCTAGTTGTTTCTTCTTCGAAAACAACGTTCGAAGTCTTCTTTGAAAGGTCTTGAGTGTCTTGCTGTATTTAAATCCTTTGCTTGTTGTATCAGAAGTGATGCGAAGTGTAAAAAATTGAATTTATCTTACCAAGACGAAAATAAAGAGAATTATTAAGACAGTGGAATTGTGGCTTTCGGGCAGTGGTGCTTCCCAGCAATCATATGATTGCTAATTCGAATCGAACGTGCGCTGCAATATTCAAAGTGAGCTCTTGCAAGTAAATTATAGCTTAATAAGTGCTGGTTATATGCGCTCTTGTTCAACGTAAAGGCTTTCCATTTTCCTCTTTGTTTTTTTTCTGAAACTCTTTCTACAAAAATGTAATGAAATGATTCAGCGAGAATAAATGAACACATTGTACAAGATTTCTTACATGCAAATTGTTTTATCAACAGTTTTTGACTCAATTTTTTTAAAATTTTTCGTGGGGGTGGGAAACTGGAAAAAGCCAATTTAAATAACTAACCTGCAGGTCAGCTTAAGGGTCAGCGTCATCTGAGTGAATGCTTATAGCTGATATTAGGTACAGTTGTTACGTAATTCAGAAATTATATGATTGTTTATTCATAATTTTCAAAATTCAGTTCCGCTGACTAGTTAACAAATTTGAACTCCAACTCTGGTAGTTCATGAACTTAATAATTAAATATAGTTCATCTCAATATACAGTCAGTTTTGAAAGATACATTTTATTTTTTATTTCTCAGGTCAAATAAGTTCAAGGTAATCGTTCAAACTAGTACTGTGACATATAATGTGCGCAGTAAACTGCAAATCCAGCGTGCCAGAGCAGAAATGTGGTCGGAAAAATAATAAGAGCCCAAAAATCGAAGCCCCTTTCCAACTTGATATTGGCTTGAGTGATGGCCCGATGGGAGACGAAGCGTCTCCGTTTTGTCCTCGGAGAATCCCCGCGACGTTCGCCATCAACATCGTCATTATCGCCACCATTCATTCGTTCTTCGTCATCGCAATTTGTTTGCATATCACACGAAAAATAATTTTTCGTGTTTTTGTTTTTCTCTGCTGCGCCTCTGACGACCACTTTGGACTCTTTTCTCTTGCGGGATTTGACTCTGCGTCTCTGTCCTGAGTTGACGAGGGCGAACTCGATGAGGCTGCCGAAGACGAAAAAGAAGTTTCCGATCATGTAGACATCGCCTATCTTCAAATCAGCAATTCCAGGAAACCTAAAAATAACATATAAAACGGAATAATAATAGATGAGACTATGAACTGAAATGTTTATCCGAGGAAAACGCCAAAGCTTTCATAGTTCGTTTTATGATCGAAATATAGAAAAGCAGCGTGCTTGATAACATGGCGCGAAAGTACATCAAAATTTCGTTAGTTTTCTCCAGTTTTTTTTTAGTTTTTCATAGTTGCAAGATCCTAATTGTTTTCCTGATAACGTTAACTCGCTGATCACATTGTTCAATTTCGTTCTGCAGTTTGTCCATACTTATATTTTTTGTCGCAATAGAGAAAACTTGCATGCATGTTGACATGGCGCAAAAGTCCATCAAAACTTTCGTTAGTTTTCTCCAGTTTTTTTTTTGCAATTTTTATATTTGCAAGCTCCTATTTGTTTTTCTGATCACGTCAACTCAACTCACTGATCAAATCGTTCAGTTTCATACTGCTGTTTGTCCAAGCTTGGTTTTTTTGTCGCAATGTAGAAAAGGAGCATGCTTGTTAACATGGCGCAAAACTACATCAAAATTTTTGTTTTTTTTTCCCAGTTTTTTTAGCTTTCATTTTGAAAAGATGAAGTTGGATATCAACAAAAGTAGCCAGTTTCTCTGCAAGTAGCAGGGAATGGTTCTGACCACACTAAAAAGAAAACAATTTTTCGTCTTTTTTTATGTAGTTTTTTTCATGTGGCGTAAGGATGTGATTCCACTTTTATATTTAGTCTAATTAAAAGTGTCTTAGTCCAATTAATTTAACCAGTCTTGCAATTTTTTTTTCTCTCCGGCGGAGAGAAAAAAAATGTGCCTTGCAATTTTTTTTTTGCAGAACCAGTATGTGCCTTGCAATTTTTTTTTCTCTCCGGCGGAGAGAATATTCTCTCGCTTTTCAATGTTTTAATTTTCAGGTTATTCACTTTTATCCTTTTATTCTTTTAATTGTATAAAGTAGAGTTAGCTGTAACCATGTAACTTTTTATCATGGCGAAATCAAACAACGAATATAACGTAAGAAGAATACCTTCTATTTGGCAGAACTTTACGGTGGACCCACCAATTCCTTGGGAAGAGTGGAGCAATTTTTTCCAACTAGCTTTTATCGCAATGGAAAACGTAGATATTGAAAATCTAGTAAATCTGGTTGAAAAGAATCATCCACTTCCACCTGCACTTGAGAATCCGACAGAGAACGAAACGGAAAGTCCAAGAAAAGCACGAGTAGAGAGGAATATGCAAGAACAAAAATGTTACGATGACGAAGAGGCGGCATCGATCAAAACAGAAGCAAAAAGTTTAAACGAAATGAGAATCGAAGAAGCCGGCAAGAAACTTCGCTCAATCCTCTACCTAGCCCTCGGGAATGAAGAAAAAAGAGTCTTTGGACAGAAGTTGGACGTCACATTTGAAAGACACTAACGGTTAAATAGTAAGCAACGTGAAAAAAAGTCATTGGCAAATTTTTGGGGCGCCCGCTCAAAAATGGACAAAATCTAACGGATCCTTTTTACACAAACCGTATTATGATTTTGATGTCAAAAGAAAACTAACTCTGAATATTGAACGTAAGAACACCTGTATGAAATAAGGCGGTTCATTTTCAAAAGACACCTCGCAGTTTGTCCAGCGAAGGACACAACATGTTCATCCTGTAAATGCAAAGGCCACTTCACCAGACCATGTAAATCTCGTCGTAAAAAGTAAGCATTGTAAATACCCAAATTGTAGATGAAACAGTTTTTAATTCTTCGGATCAACCGGATGTAAAACTAGACCGTGTAAATAGAGAATGCTCTGGAGTGATCAATATATGGTCATAATCCGGACAGAACAAAAAAGATGATTATCCTGTTTTAAATATAATTAAATTTTTAGACGACGAAGGAAAAAAACTTAAAAACTGCTAAATATTGGCCTCGGGAAAAAAATCAAGTGATTTTAAATATTCAAGTGGACTTCTAGCCCGGTCAGCTTTCTCAAGAACGATTTTATTCACGAACTGAAATTACGAGAAGCTTTATTGAAGATTTATCCGCTGGATAAAGCAACAAAGGGTTTATACTGCGGGTTCACAGACAACGCTATCAACATCACCGGCAAATTGATATTCCCGAATTCCTCGAATGGATGGTCACATGCAGATTGCCATTTGTTTTGACAGAAGGCCACGAAAGGAACATCCTTGGAAATTATAATTTGCCTAAAGTGGAGAGTGAAGTTTTACAGAAACAGTTTCCACGTTTCCAGACCAACAAAATGTGTAAGTCAATAAATTTTACTTCTACCGCTAAAAAAGACAGGGAAATCGATCATTCCTCTTCTTTATTAGACTAATTCAAAATTGAACTAAAACGGCTCAAAGCCGACGGATTTAATAATAAAATAGAAAATTGTTGCGAAAATCGATTCATTAGCCCAATCGTCTATACTTGTGAAGAAGACAAATCAATCAAGTTAGCAATAGACTCAGAAGTTTTCAACACACAAATATACAAAAACAAATTTAAAATGGCGAATATTCACGAAGTTGCGGATAAAATAACGGCTCAAATTTCAATTGATTCGGCTGGAGGTGTATGGTTTACAAAGCTTGATTTAAAAAACGCCTATAGTCAGCTGGTCTTGGATAATTTTACTAGAAACCAGTGTAATTTTACTATAGTCGGTGGCGCTATTACCAGCACTTTTCATTTTCTAACTGATTTTTACAGACTGGGCGATATGCCTAACGAATTTCAAAGAATCATGGCCTCATCGTTAGGAACAATTCCTTTTACAAATTTTTTTTAGACGACAGTTTAGTTGCATCCAAAGGAAGTTTTTCCGATCACAAAGACACTGTCTACAAAACTTTGTCGATTTTAGACAATCACAACTTTGCCGTCAAATAATTAAAGTGTAAATTTTCCAAAATAAATTGAATGGCTGGAATTTAAAATTTCAAGACCAGGAATTTCCCCGTTGAATAAAAAAAACGAAAGCAATCCAAATCAATACATCAAATTCGTCCCAAATTCAGCATCCTTGGGAAGCCCTTTTTGCTTTTTGCTAAATAAAAAAAAACCATTTTCCATTGAACCGTAGATCATACAGAAGCATTTGAGAAAATTAAGCGAGAAATTTTTAATCTGACAAAAAATACCCACTTCGATGCAAAAAGTAACACCAGATTAAAAACCGATGCGTCACATAATGGACTAGGGGCATCTTTAGATTTACTCCACGGAAACGATTGGAAGACGGTTTCCTCTGCCTCATGGTTTTTAAACCCACGCGAATCTAAACATTCTAGCAATGAGTCAGAACTTCTAGGGGTCGTTTGGGCGGTTGAACATTAAAAGAACTACTTTTTTGGATCAGTTTTTGAATTTTTCGCAGACCATAAAGCCCTGCTATCCGCCTTTTCAATAAACCACGGGAATGAAGCGTATCACAGTAGATTAACAAGATGGGTTGATCGATTGTTACCTTTTAACTTCACTATTAAAATTTTGGCAGGAAGGTTATGCGAATAACCGACTTAATTTCAAGAATTCTATCTGAAAAACCTTACCCCCATCACATAATGATGAAGAATTCGTAGTTGCTAACATTAATGAAATTAACAAAGCAATTGATGCTTCGAATAATCAAAAACAGTTATGCAGTGAGATTGGTTCAAATTTGGAAAATTCCGATTACGCAAGACTACGTTATTACTTATTAGCATCGGTTCAGAAACATATAAACTCGACTCTTCCAATTTGTGACTCAAAAAATAATCGAACTGAAATTTTTACCTCCAAATGCATTCCCTCGGATTATTCTAATATTAATCCTTTAAAAATTTCTATTTCAATTTCTGCATTTTTTAAATTTCTTATTTCCTAATTGTAGCACAATTAACTCCCCTTTAGATAGAAAAACTGTAAATACTGTATTTATGGAACTCAAAAAAATGGATTTAGTCCGTCCACCTCTGGCACTCAAGTCCATTAAGACTTCTCATTGTTATTAGAACACAAAAAACTCGTTAAAAAATACCGTGAAAATTTGAAGTTGCCCGATTTTCCTTTGAATCTAAATACTTTATTCAAAGCAAAAGTAGTATTCCTCTTAACTGAAGATGAATATTTGTTGAGCCCTACCGTGAAAACAATTCAGAACAAAGTTGAGACGATTAATTCAAATTAGCCATGTTCTCATCGTTTTATACGTCATTTACATGAATTCGACGGATTATTATACATGGATGGCAAACATGTGATTCCGTTTACTCTAAGAAATGCCATGATTAAGACCCTTCACGAAGCACACCCCGGCCAAATCCGAAGGAAGTTTGTAGCCCAATACATCTGGTGGTACCATATAAATAGACAAAATAATTTCCATGGCGTAAATTGTTCAGAATGCACCAAGATGGGTAAGAATAAAAAAATAGTAATTCCAAATTTACAAATTAGTAAACTATACCATTATCTGAACGTAACGAGGACCTGAACTTAGATTTTGCCGGTCCTTTGTAATCTCACTGGGGCATAATCAAATCTAATCTGTTATGCATCAAATAAATTTCAAAAATTCCATCATCAAAAACTACCACATCCACATCGACAGAAACAGTTATCGAATTTCTTCAGTATTATTTTTTCCCACACGGCATACCTTGCTCCATTCGAGTACAATACGCATCCTGTTTTACAAGCCAGGATTTTAATTTTTTTTCCGACTCGAACACAATTAAATTATTATTTTGTACAGTAGAGGATCATCGATCCAACGGTTTAGTCGAAAAACTTGTACATTCTGTTAAAATCAAAGTTTTGTCAATGGCTCAAGAGTTAACGTAAGAATTTGTACAAAAATATACATAACAAGGCGCTATCTCAAAAACTATTTAAAAACTTCGATCTTCTTATCAATCAAAAATTAAATGCTCTCCATGCGATATACATTTCAAAAGGAAACCGAACACAATTTGGATACAACTCGCGTCCTGTAAACCTTCTAATTGAATTTTAGGC